TATATAATGTTTTAATAATCCTATTTTTCTTCAACTTTGTATTAACCTGATTTGTGTTCGTATCAGAGTAAACAACAAGGAAATATACCAAGCATGACAAGTACAGCAGCCTGGACCACTGAAACGACAGAGAAAATCAAATTTACCAAACTGTGCAGGCTTCTTTATGATGGAGGAACAAAAGCTTTAAGGTCAGTTTTTGATGTTCAATGTCCACCTCCATCTTTGGTAGCATCACTCAATTCTAATAAATCCACATTATTGACACTCAAGAAGCCAAGGGGAAAAGTACTCAATGATGATCAGTGGGATAAACTCTATCCTCCTCCAGGTGGTGCAAGTCCTAAATCGGAAGACTTTGACATTACTCTGCTGTTTGTTCTTCTGAGGAATATTTGTCCTAGACTCGCTGCACCACTTACAGGATGGGATGAACCACCGAATACAGCAGATAATAGTCTTGGAGCAAACCTCGTCAGGATAAAGGTCTACAGGAACAAGGTCATTGCTCACAGCTCCAGTGCAGATATTGAGGAAACTCAATTTACAAAATACTGGGATGAGACTTCAAATGCTCTAGTGTCGCTTGGACTCAAGAAAGACGACATTGATAAACTTAAGTCGTCTCCTCTAGGAGAAGAAGATTATAATCGACTACTAAAAGAATGGGCCAAGGCAGATGAAGACATCAAATCTCAACTGGAATCAATCAAGTCCGACACAGCTGCGATAAAACGCACTCTTGAAGAAATTAGCAATGAGAAAGAGATAAAAGTTAGGAGAGATAGTCCAATTAATAAGCTAGTCTTCTCTGACTTCAGTAGTGTAGTTAAAAAATTAGTGGGGTCTTATCATCCTAATACACGACAGTGGATCTTTGAGGAAGTCAGGTCTTACCTCGAAAGAGAGAGCTCTAAATCTATAATGGTAGTTATTGAAGCGGGACCAGGAATGGGTAAATCTGTTGTGGCTGCAAAAATATGTGACATGTACAAAAAATCAGAAGGTCAACGAATCGTCAAAGGAGCATGTTATTTTTTTAAGCACAACAATGCATTACGAAATGATCCAAGCAAAATGCTGCAGTCCATTGCAAGGCAGCTTTGTGTGTCAGTCCCTGGTTATGAAGATGCTTTAGAAAGAAACATCCAACCAACTGCAGACAAAATCCCCCAGCTGGGATGCAGAGAACTGTTTACTTTGCTTTTAGAAGAGCCCTGTTCCAAGGTTAATTCAGAGGATACTGTAGTTGTTGTGATTGATGCCCTTGACGAATGCAATAACATGAAGAATGAATTGTGTAAGGCGTTGGTCGAGGGAATACCACATTTACCATCATGGATAAGATTTGTCATTACGACAAGACCACCTCCTAGTATTTCGTCTTTTCGGACAAATTCTCACATCTACATCAAACCAGAAGATGCCAACAATAAAAAAGATCTTAAAGGTTTCATCGAGGACAAGCTGAAAGATCTGAAGCAAGATTCTTCTACTGTGACTGCAGACCATATCAAGCATCTTGTTGATACGACAGAAGGTATAT